CTCTCTCTCTCTCTCTCTCTCTCTCTCTCTCTCTCTCTCTCTCTCTCAGCTTCCTTCCCTATAGTTAATACTCACTGTGGCCTTAGAATAAGCAGCATTGCTGCCTTTTACAATAGTATCACTATGAAACACTTAAATTTGATTTTGACAAATAGGAATCCAGAGAAAAAAAATCAAGTAGGCAGAATACCTAATATATACTGCTGTGATTTTTTTTACTCTGTGCATAAGTCTGCAAAGAACAAATTTATCCATTTCAGATAAAGTGACCCAACTGAGTTGTAAAATATTTCCTTAGCATATACATTTGTTCTTTATTAGCAATAAACTATAATAAATTATAATAAACTGAAATTTAATATGGTAGACTGCTGTGTTAAAACCTCTTAATGACTATTTCAAAATAAAGTACCTCTAGGTAAGATACTGATACTATTTTTACCTTTAAGTTCTCATCTTTCAGCCATACATCCTAAAATCTTTCAGAAGAAATTAATATGGCATCTAGTATTTGCTTGAAAGAATGTATAAAGGTATGGTGTGGGTAGCAGTAGAGATAAAAGCTGGTCAGGAGCTTATAATTTGTGACATGCAGAACACTGGAATTTCATTATAGCCTATATATGTCCTTAATAAAAAATTTCCAAGAACCTTACCATAGACTCCTCATTGCCTTAAGGTATAGTCCAGTCCCTTTGGGACTCCTTTAACACTTCTTACCTAGGAACCCTTCCAGATTCAACTCCCAAAGTGCTTCGGCTCCCGTATTAATATTTGAATTGTCTTGACTCTGATCCTTTGTGCTTCCTTTCTTTTTTACTTAAAACACTCTTCTCTGGCATTTCCACCCTCCATTGACACTCCATTTTAGTTGCATAAGTTTTACAATGTCCCAGGTAGCAGATAACATTACTTTCTCCAGCTTTTGTTAACTAACCCCTGCCCAATATGGTTGAGGACTTCCTAAGGGGGAGGGTACATACATCTATCAGTGGGTTTCTCCCAACTTAGCCTTTGGGAAACTCTATGCCCACTTCCTTTTGGTCACCTGCATAGTAGAGTGTGTGTGTGTGTGTGTGTGTGTGTGTGTGTGTGTGTGTGTGTAGGTGCCTGTTCATATGTGTGGAGGCCAGAGATCAACTTTGGATGTCATTCCTCAGAAACTCTCCACATTTCCCCCCTCCCCTCTCTTCCCTCCCTCCCTGCCTCCTTCCCTCCCTCCCTCCCTCCCTCCCTCCCTTCCTTCCTTTTTTTTTGAAAGAGAAAAAATGGATTAAAATCTCCATGTGTGGACTGGGTAAAGATATTGTGATTTAGTCACCATGGAATGGAATTTTATACGGAAGTAATAATTTGTCTTAGTCAGGGTTTGCATTCCTGCACAAAACATGACCCAGAAGCAGTTTGGGGAGAAACGGTTTTTATTCAGCTTACATTTCCACATTGCTGTTCATCACCAAAGGAAGTCAAGACTGAAACTCACACAGGTCAGGAAGCAGGAGCTGACGCAGAGGCCATGGAGGGATGTTACTTACTGGCTTGCTTCCCCGGGCTTGCTCAGCTTGCTTTCTTATAGAACCCAGGACTATCAACCCAGGGATGGTACCACCCACAATGGGGCCTCCCACCCTTGATCACTAATTGATAGAATACCTTACAGCTGGATCTCTTAGAGGCATTTCCTCAGGGGAATCTCCTTTCTCTTCGATAACTCCAGCTTGTGTCAAGTTGACACACAAAACTAGCCAGTGCATAATATAAGGGACTGTACAGAGACAAATTGGTCAAGTCACATCAAACACTAGAAAGTCAAAGGATGTGTCAACTGTGGTAGTATTAATGGATATAAAGTTCAAAGACGCGAAGCCAAACAATATACTGTATGTATTATAGTCTTTTCAGGTGGCTGGAACCAAATATGATAGCCTGGCCTACAAATAACAGATTTCTCTCTCAATTCTGGAGGCTAAGTACCAGCATATTCCATGTCTGATGACAGTCTGCATTTATCCCAGTGTTCTCATGGAGTAGAAAGGACAGCTTAACTCTCTGGAACCTTGTAAATGACAATGATTTCATTCATGACCTCATTATCTCCAAAGGCACTATCTCTAAATGCTGTTATATTAGGGGTCTGATTTCAACACATGAATTTGTGGGCATACAGGCATTCAGCTTATAGTGTGCACATTTATACATGGAAGTGGTACAGAGATGAGGGAAGTTTTCTCTGGCAGAATGGAGGGGAATGTGGGGGTCTGACTAGTGCTAGAATGCTGAGCACATGGAGTTTACCCTGTTACCTTGCTTTAACAGATATGTGTAGTCTTTGTATGTCTATTTCATAAGAAGAACCACCACTGAAAACAAATATGTCAGCAAGTTCTAAGTGAGAGTATATTCTCAGCATTTAAAAAAGGGAAACAAAACAGGTGGAGTGTGTCACATATCTTGAATCCCAGCACTTGGGAGGCAGAGGCAGGTTCACTTCTCTGAGTTCCAGGCTATCCATCCATCCAGGGCTGCATAGTGAGACCCTGTTTCAAACACACACACACACACACACACACACACACACACACACTCACACACTAATGCATACATATATTATGTCTCTTCATTATTTTATTTAAATTCTTACTGTTCTGCTTTTATAGTTCATGGGAGGTAATCCCAATTAAATAATTTCCCACTTCTATTTTATGTAAAAAGCTGATGGTAGAAATACAAATTTCCATAACCCTCATTGATGATCAGCAGCAAGTAGAAGAAATAAGAATACAGATCACCTCAGCTCTCTTTCAATTCTTGTCTTTATTCATCTCAGATGTTGCCATTGTGGACATGAGCGATATCTCCAGACAGCCTTCCCTTTTCTATCATCTTGGAGTCCGAGAGAGTTTTGACATGGCTAATAATGTAATTCTGTACTATGATACTGATGCTGACACTGCTCTGTCATTGAAGGTAAGGATCACTGTTTACCTTCCTTTGGGTACTTAATTTTAGAGAAGTATGATGTGTCTAGTTGAAATATAACTTATAGCATTGGATGTTAGAAAATGTACTAAAGAATTAGTTGCTAGCTTCCATAGGTGGCTCCTGCCTGCTGTGCGAGCATCCTTGCTACCCTGAGCTTTTATAGGCACTCAGCACTTCAGACTTAAGGAAGCAGAGGCAAAATCTGTTAGTTTCCATTGATGCAAACACATGGCTCTGAGTCCCCTCATGGACAGTATGAACACGTTATAAAAATTAGTTCTGAATTTGCTTGTGAACATATGAAGATACCTAACAATCATCAAAATGTTAAAAGAATAGCATAAACCTAATCAGTATTTCATTTATTTTCCTCTAATTTGAAAGCAAAGCTAAACTATTGAAAACCTGTATGTTCTTGCACAACTCAGTAATTATTGAGAACTTCAAAAATGTATCTTTTTGAAAACTTCATGCAAGCTTTCTAAGGTAGCATAGTACTAAAATGTTTATATTAATAAAAATGTAAATTTCTAATGGGGATTATTCCAACCTTCATCTTCTTTTAATAGTGTTGAATATCTTAGCAGTAGCTGAGAAATCCTGGATATGTGAAATCATTTTGTTTACAGTAGCACCTCTCAATCCTGACTGGCCTTTAAAATTACCCAAGGAGCTGATAAATGTCCCAAGGCCCAGGCCACACCCAGATCAATTATATCACAGTCTCTGAGGGTGGAGCCCAGACACTTTTTGTTTAAATCTCTCAAATATACAACCAGGGATGAGAAACAGTGGTTTAGAAAGGTGGACTTCACAGCCTTCATTCTTAGTATTAAGCTCTCACAGCACTAAAAATCATGAGTGTAAAGCAGTACAATTTGATACCAAAATTGCATGTTTATATTTCTTGAGTTTAATAGTAAATCAAATTTTTCTTGTTTCTGTAATGATTAGAGATTATTTCCTGAAAGAAATGCTACTTGTTTCAGATGTGTAAACTATGTACAGTAAATTTTACACACACACTTTACATAAATGTATAGTATGTATTTAGAACTCAGGACTGTATTGTACAGAAACCATTCATATGATTGAGAAAAGAAACTTTTGTTAGTAGAGGTTATTTATACAATAGTTTCCAAAGACCTTAAACCAATCTAAATTATTGTATATCTGTATATATTAATTTCTGTTTACTAAATTAGTTATGCTTAGAAATCTTTAGAAATTATAAATAAGAAAATTTATATGATTTATATTTTGAGAAACATGAAGTTACAATATATTCTTCCACTTGTATAATACTTTTCCTCTACTGTATCTTAGTAAAACCTTCAATAAAATCCTATGACCTAGATAGGTTTTAATTTTTTATAGTTATAGAGGTTACAAAGTTTTTAATTTTCAACAGAATAAATATTTCCTAAAATTGAAATGACTAACCAGGTACACCTAACACCAAAAGCAGGCAACTGTGCTTGTTACCAGAAAACAGAAATGTCACAATGTATAATACATGTTTTGTAGGGAATGCATTTAATTATGTATTCTGTTTAAATAAATGTAGGATTGCAGTGTAAAAATGTTACAATCAAGTGCTACATAGCCATCATGCTAAGTTAACAAATACTGTTCTCATTATACTTTGAACATGCCTGGACAGCTCCAGTGGAGTGTCAGGACTACTTTGAGCAACACCATTCTGTGAGAAGGCTGACTATGGCATGGCCTGAAGCCTTCAAAATAGTTCCAACTCAACGCATAGCCAGTGCTTTACTTAGTGTAACTGATGCTTTTCTTCTGGCAAGGCAAGAACCAGGACACTGGTTAAGATCTCATCCCAAAGGGAGATCTTAAAATATATATGAATAAGTAAATTTCTAATACATATGGGAACATTCTTATAAGCATAAATCTCCTGTAGTAGTTGTAGAACTAACCAATTATGATCAGTTTTCCTTGGCATCTGAATTTTACAGTTTGAGTTTCATTCTGTTTGAAGCTTTCAGAGGGGAAACCAAATGATTAATCCTTTAAGATGGGGAGAATACTAGCTTATGAGAATTGACTTTAAAATTATATTCATATTTTCTTTTTCTTTTCAGGATATGGTCACTCAAAAAAACATAGTAAGTATTACATCTTAAAAGATGTTTTGGTTATTTTATTTTTTATTTATTTTTATATGTAATGTTTTTATTTAAAAACAGTATTTTAGAGAATAGATGGAATGTTTCAACTGATTGTTAATCAGATGTACAGTACCTATCACACAGAGGATGATTCATAAATATTTTATAAATGGATTTATCTAGATATTTTTAAGCCATATTTATATAGATTACTAAAAAACTTGACTGATCATATAGGTAGCAAGGAGATTTTCTTTTTAAAATATTTCTATTTATTTTGGGTGAGTATGGCAGGGTGGTAGAGGCATGCACCGTGGAGGCATACATGTTAGAGTCAGTGCTCTCTTTCCACCATGTGAGTACCAAGATTGAACTCAGATTCTCAAGCTTAGTGGCAAGTACCTTTACCAGCTGAACCATCTTACCAGCCTACACAGGTGAGTTTCAAAATCATGCCTGTTGATTTCGATGCCAAGAAAACAACTAGAAAGCACTTGTCCCACAACTCAATTGGTAGTATAGGACCCACTCAGTCATTTAGGGAGTGGGGCAAGAGGTCAGGCAAGTATGTGGTGCAAGCTGAGTGTTTCTGAGTTAAGTCAATCCTCTTGCCCGCCACAAATCTTTTTTGGTAATGGTGGAATGTAAACTTGTACCCCAGTTCATGTGGGGGCCAAGTCTGATGTTCTCTGACACAGATCAACAGAAAGCAGGATGGAATTCCATTTCCTTCAGTTACTACCTGTTCTCTCCTTAAGTCTCCAGATTTTCGTCAAATTCCTGTATTTGTATCATTTTCATCACCATGTTGTTTTGTACAGGCTAATGAAACTGTCACCTGAAAAACATTTCAACAGATCACCTACCTCCTCAGAAATTGTCCCAAAATTGCCCTCCATTAAAAAAAAAATTTAGTCCAGCAATGGTAGTACACACCTTTAATTCCAGAGTTCTGGAGGCAGAGGCTGGAAAATCTCTTGAGTTGAGGCCAGTTTGGTTTACAGAGCAAGTTCCAGAATGGCCAAAGCTACCCAGAGAAACCATGTCTCAAAAAACAAAACAATTTTTATTTTATGTGTATGGTGGGTTTTTTGTTTTGTTTTTTGCCTGCATGTCTATTTGTGCACCATGCATTGTCCAGGGAGTCCAGAAGAGGGCATCAATCCTTCAGAACTGGAATTACATGTGGTTGTGAGTTGCCATGGGGTGCTGGGAATTGGTTCTTTGAAAAGCAATCGCAGCTTTAAACTGATGAGCCATCTTTCTAGTCCTACCTGTTGAGGGTACACCAAGTTGCTTCCCACTACCTTCTGATATCATTATGGTATGAGAAACTGTAACCTAGACTCAGGAATAAACCCTTGGATCAAGACTTCTTTCCCACTAGCCCTTCTAGAAGGGAAGGCTTTGATGCCACTTTTCCTATTCCACTTGGAGTTCCTCCAGAGACATGGTAGAAAGGGCCCAGGAGATGAGGTTCTCAGCAGGACACCCTCTTTAAGGAAAGTGGGAGCTTTAAAGTGACTACCTCTTCAAAGAATTCCACTGACCAGCTGAGATGCGCAAGACTCCCACAGAATTCCCCACATGAAATGAACCTTCCTTCCTCACCCAAGCATGAGATTTTAGAAACAAAGTGATTACCATTGGAATATGGAGTTGTAATCATGTATTTTTAGAAAATAAGACATGAGAGTGGTTTGGAGTTCCTCTTCAGAAAAGAAATGGGAATACACTTGCCTTTCTGGCATATCCTCCTAATCACCCAGTACCTCTCAACATTTGTAGTAAGTCAAGCATACCTTAGTCCCATTCTTTCACTGGGTTTGCTTGTTTGGGAATGATGTATTCTAGAGGATTTGGCAATAACTACAGTTGACATTTCATTAGAATTCAATGCCCAGAATTTTAATGATTGAGAAGGTGTAAAGTGTCAGAGTATTCAGAAGAATTAAGAAAATTACTTCATTTTCATTTTCAATCAAGGTAACTTGAAGGAAACAAAATAGCATCAACTAGGAAGGATTCGAGGAAAATAAATGTGGGAGTGCTTGTATCCATGTTCATCCTTCCATGTTATCTTCTTTCTGGTGATAAAAGAAAGTTAATATTTTCACTCCAGATGGGATAGAAGTAAGGCAAAGTCGAATGGTTTACATTAGCAGAATGGATACGGTACAGCTAATGGTGATTAAACATTAAAACAGAATGTCAAAGTAAAATGGTTGAATTTAAGAAGAGTTTGCTCAGTTATCCTCTGTGTGTGAGTTGGGTACTACAATCATATGACATCAGAGGTTACAAGAGAGAAACTGATAGCATTGTTGGTATGTGCTCATTTTGGAAAGTTTAGACATACATATGCCCCTCCCCCACTACCACCATAGTCATAAGTAGTGAGTTGTAAAGCTCTGTAAATCAGGTACAGACTAAATGCTGTACCATGAGCATGCAGACATGTCATGTTTAAAATAATGTGTATGTAAATGAAAATCAAGCTGTTTTGAGGTCTTCAGGGAGTGGTTTGTTGCTTCTAGGATTGTGTCTGAAAATGTATTACTTTCAAGTTGATACGAAGGAGGGTAGGCATACTTGTCTTCATTTTCAGGAGCAGTGGTTGATAAGGATTCAAAGGATGATAAGCTCATTCCTAGTCTTCAGACTATAATATTCTTAGCTGTTCTGGGCTCCTTTGCTCTTTGGGACAATTCCTGTTCATCCCCTTATCAGATAATGCTGTGTTCTCATGCCCTTGGTTTTCTTTTTATGCGTTACTTAGATATAGTGTACACACCATAAACTCCACTGTCGGTCTTAGTGATTTTTAACAAATTGTAGAGTGGTCCAGCCATTGTGCTGATCTAATATTGGAATATTTACATCAGTTCCCAAGCTGCTCACTTGCAGACAATCCCTATTCTTTCCCTTAGCCTCAAGCAACTACTAATTTCTACATATTTTATAGATTTGCCTTTTCATATAGATGGACTGTATATTATGTATTCTTTTGTGCCTTTCTTTCACTTAGCATGATTATTTAAAAATTCATCTATGATATAACTACACTCACAGTTTTATTCTTTTGTTGTTGTTGATGATGAATAGCTTTCCACTGTGTGCATATTCCACATCTTTCTCTCAATAATAGACACTTACGTTGTTCCTGCTTTTTGGCTTTGAACTATACTACTGTGAACATTCAAGTATAAGTGTTTATGTAGACATGTATTCATTTTCTCTGGTAGATACTAGGAGTGAAATTTCTGAGCCTTGTAATAAACTCTGTGTGTGTGTGTGTGATATCTGTTAATATAAGTAATAATATCTGTATGTATATTAATTGTCACAGTGATTCCAAGCTGGCTCTACTGTTTGACATTTTACATGAACTGAGAGATTCAGTTTCCTCATAGCATCACCAATTCCTGGTGTCTGGCTTGTGTGTCTTTTCATTATAACTATTATAGTGAGTATGAAGTTGTAGATCTTAATTTGTGTTTCTGTACTGACTAGTGATATTGACCATATTAATTTTCTTACTAATAGTAGCTACTTACACTTTTAGTGATAAAATTTTCTTCCAGTCATCTCCACAATTTTAATTGGGTTGTATATTTACTGTGAGTTGGAAGAGATCTTTATTCTGTAACCAATTCTCTAATCAGAGGCTTTATAAACTATTTTGTTGTTGTGGATTTGATATAGGGTCTCAGGTAGCATAGGTTGATATTGAACTTGCTATGCAGCAGAGATGACCTTGAATTCTTGGTCCTCTACTCCTTCCCTCCCAGTGCAGGAACTTGGAACTTCCTGTAGCCAGAGCTCCTCTCAACATCTGAATGTTCTCCACCACAACTGAACATATTCTGAAACCATGGGTCAAAAATAAAACTTTCAGATGCTTTTTGTGAGGTATTTTGTAATTGCAGTACAAAAAGTAATTAAAGTAGCATTTTAATACTAAATTTTCTAATCAATGGGCATGGACTATGTTTCCATTTATTTTAGTTGTCATTAATTTCTGCCAACAGCATTATATAGTTTTCAGAATACACATTTTTTCACCTCCTTGATTTAAATTCAATTAGGAATTATTCTTTTGGTTGTTTTTATAAGTGGAACTATTTATTTTTCAGAATTGATTATAAAAATGCACTTTTCACAAAAACATCGTTTGATATCACATTTAGCTCATGATTCAAATATTTAAAGACTACAAGCTCTTTTTGGTTTTGGGGGGTTTCTTTGTTTGATCAGAGTTCTAAGAAAATGACTTCTCACTTTTGCTTTATTTTTATTTATATTAATTATTGTGCTTGGTTCTGTTGTTTTAGAGATAAAGATAGTCACTTTCAATATTTTATCAATTTAGAAAGCATGTTTGTGGATGGTGGAGGTGTATACCTTTAACCCTAGCACTTGGGAGGCAGAGGCAGAAGCCGGTGAATCTCTGTGAGTTCCAGGACAGCCTGGTCCACAGAGTAAGTTCCAGAACAACCAGGAGTACACAGAGAAACCCTGTCTTGAAACACTAAAAACAGGCAAACAAGAAAGAAAGTAGGTTTATATTGTGGATCAGATCAAGGTTATATATATATATTTTTTTTTAAAAGGAAAAGATTGAAAGTGTAGCCAGCCCCAAGGCTGTTTTATCTATTAAACCTTGGAACTTCCTGGTACTTTGTCACTAGTGGGCATAATCTAAAGATGTTCTGCAACTTCCTTTGTTCTAATTTTCCTTCTCATGGGTTGATTTATGTGAATTACTGGAAGCAGAGACTGAGACTCAGTTTAGAGTCCAAGAAGCTCATTAAGAAATGCCTTTGTGGTCCACACTGGGCAAGGGGAGGCATTGAAATCAGGTTGGGCAAAGAGATGAGTGGAGCTATGGTGCTGGTCCAGTGATAGTGAGAGCAGTAGCTTCTCTGGGTGGTGTGAGTTTGGAAGGGGTTTTCTGTGCTCTCATCCGTCATCATGAAATGCCCCGGTTTTAACAC